TTCAGGATAAACTTTTTTTTTCTTTCCCAGTGCCTTTGTTGCCACTGGTCTCCTCAGTAGCTGCTGGGGGTCTGCTGTTGGTCCTGCTGGTCTTGATAGTGGTCTGTCTGGTCTACAAGAGAAGACAACAAACCAAGTGTCCTGGAACTCTCGTCCAAACTCAAAGTCTGTGTTCACCAGGACACACAGTGCATTACATGAAAAGACTAATTGTTTCTGATTGTTTTCCTTTTTTTCTTGATACACTTTCATCACAACATTTGTGTTTGAATGCTTGCATTTATTCTGATGCTCATGACACATTTTTGTTCTAATGATTGCGTTTCAGTGCCTCTCAGAGTCAGGAACGTTTATGGAAGTGATGAGGATGAGGATGAAGAGGATGACTATGAGAATGCTGATCCAATGGAAACCAAGAGGAAATTCAAAGATGGAGCGGCGAGAATGGAGGAAGAGGAGATTAATGATTATGAGGATCCAGAGAGTGATGACGATCACGATTATGAGGGAGCATGCACCCATGCAAATTTCATAAAAGCCAAGGAGGACTGTTTCAGTGTCGAGGAGAGCACGGGAGAGGAAGAAGAAGAAGAAGAAGAAGAAGAAGAAGAAGAAGAAGAAGAAGAAGGAGAGGATGAAGAAGATGAAGAAGAAACCAGTGATGATGAAAACATCTATGAAAATGTAAACCAGCCCTTTGATGAACAAAGTGTGTCCATCTATGGAGAAGAAGAGGATATTTATCAAAACTTTTGAGGTGTCCAGTGGTCATCAGTGTCACAGTGGTTGCCATGGAAAAAGGACTAATTTTTTGACCCTGTGCAATCAATTTCACCAAATAAATGGAATGTTGAAATCTTAAAGTGGAGATCAAACACTGAAAACTATGTCTGCGGTTCATTGGATTTTTACCTTAGACAAAATATAGCACTGTAATCAAACTTGCATCTAGATTTGCTAACAAAAAAAAAAAAAAAAAGGTAGATTGCATATCATTTCTCATTATCAGGGTGCAGCCATCTTTCAACAAGCTAGTTTGTGACATCACCAGAATGGTAGTTTACTAGGAGCGCTGGGTACAACACTGTACTTCAGACTAGTTAAGTGTTGATAAAATGGAGTTAGAGAGTTTTGATGAGACACAAAGAACCACAGACAGTTATGCTTTTTAAGCCAACTAGACCAAATATAGTGGTACGACCTGTTTCCATGGAGTTGGACAACAGCAGCTAACTTGAAAATGAAGAGCAGCCTGAACTTGACTAATGTTATGTTTAATGTCAGGTCGCAGCAGCTGACAATCCACAATAAATACCAAATATGTGCTCTATAACTGTTTCCATCAAGTAGTCAGTCCACAACAACGGTGTGTGAGGCTTATGACATTAAATTCACATTATGATGTTGCAGCTAACATAGCTAACATTAGCCCAACCCAGCGGTTGTATGATATGTCACCATCAGAAGAACTGTTGGGGTGGAGTGGCACTGAGCATGTTCCATTTCCCAGTGCTGGTAGTTTCAGTTCAGTTTTACATTTGCACGACCATCCTCCTCTGACTCATCCTTGATGTGGAGACACCACCACCAAGATCTTGCTGGCTTGGTAAAATTTTTGGAAACAAAGAGCTCCCTACTCAGCAACAGAATGGCTTATAATATTAGGCCTCTCTAAGTAAGTAGTTCTGTAAGTAATTACACACTTCAGTTCTTCCATTAAAACAGCAAGTAAGGTGGACCCGCACCCTGTGCCTGCACCACCACCAGGACACTGGCAATCAAATCAAATCAAACTTTATTTGTATAGCACTTTTCATACATTAAAAATGCAGCACAAAGTGCTTCACAGAATAAAAACATACAAAAATACTACATACATATTGAAAACCCACCCCTCCCACCCCCACATACAAACACACACACACACACACACACACACACACACACGGTCAATATAGTCAATAACATGGCTGGGCACTGAGGAACCAGGTGAGGAAAGAACCACCTATAGGGAGCTCATCCACACTGAGAGGTGTCACAGCCTACGGCTACAGGGAGCGCCGCCACAGAGACCACCCCGACCCAGACAGACTGGGGTGAACTCCACACATGGTGCAGAGCCCCCCAGTCCCCTGGGCCTGAGGGATCTCCAGGACGACGTCCCCATGGGCAGACCGGGCACACCTCTCAGTGTGGAGGCCCCCCATGAGGAAACACTGGAGCTAAAAACTAAAAGGAAATATGATAAGATAAAACAAGTATGAGATAAAATAATAAATAAATGAAGATTTAGAAATGTAATAATAATAAAATGCATAAAGATTTAAAAGTAAATAAATTTAAAAGCATTAGAAATTAAAATAACATATACTAGAAGAATTAAAAGAGTAAAAGAAATCAGTTAAAAGACAAACTAAAAAGGTGAGTCTTGAGCCTCCTTTTAAAAACATCAACAGTCTCTGCAGTCCTGATGCTCTCTGGCAATGTAACGTGTGTCCCAACAGTCAAGTGCTACTGCCGCAAATTGACTTCCTTCCATTTGTGCGCTACTCTACTCAAAACATCTCATACATTGGCCATAAAAACATACTGTCAGAGAACAAACTACCATCAAAGGACAAAACATGCTTTACAGTCCCGTCTTTACCACGCCCAGCTCAACAACTCCTACTGGCAAACAAGCGGACAACACAGACCTACCATCCCAGTGATATCACTAACTAGTTTACTGCATAGACTGTAGAAATAATGGATGTAGTAGCTTTGACGTCACCAACTGGTTTGTGGACTGCTGTTTTGAAACATTGAGTTCGGCATTTCAGCTGTTGCAATCTTGACACTCACTTCTGGCACTGAGGCTGAGCATTTTAACTTGGGGGTCTATGCAGATTCAGTCTGTTTTGAAGCCAGCCCTAAGTGGCCATTAGAGGACCTGCAGTTTTTGGCACTTCCATATTACTTTATATTTCAGCCCTTGAGTTTGCTGCTTGGCTTGTTGTAAGATGGCTGCACCCTGCTGGTGGAAATGTGAACTACGATCTGGTTTTCTAACAAATCTAGAGGGATATCAAGTTTGATTGCAGTATCATGTCTTGCCTAAGGAAAAAATCAAACAAACCACAGTCACATTGTTCAATGTTTCATCACCTCTGTAAAGTGACAACTGGTAATTCAAAGTGACGGAGCAGATAAATGTTGAATGATGTTAAATGAATATAGCTTGGTCATTCAACTCTCATTATTGTATGTATCATAATTAATATTTTTTAGGAAACTTTAAGTCAGTCAATATAACTCCAACGAAGGAGTTATAGTTAGAGTTAGAGTTATAGGAAGCTTCATTATATGTGGTCAACAGGTGCCTAACAGTAAATAGTAGACCTGTGCCCCCCTAAGGGGTCAATCCAGCAATGTGTGTAAAGTTTTTAAAAAGTATGCAAAAAAATAATTTAGATGTTTTATCATACACATAATATATTAACTCCTTAAATATTTATTTTATTGGTGGCACAGTAGTGCAGTGGTTAGCATTGTCGCCTAACAGCAAGAGGTTTCCTGGTTTGAGCTGTGGGGCCGCCCCTCTGTACTGAGTTTGCATGTTATCCCCATGTGGACTCTATCAGGGTACTCCAGCTTCCTCCCACAGTCCACATGCAAGTTAGGTTAACTGGTCACTTTAAACTGGTGTGGATAGTGTGAATGGTTGTCCTGTCTCTATGTGTCAGCCCTGCAATAGTCTGGCGACCTGTCCAGGGTGTACCCCGCCTGTTGCCCAATGTCAGCTGGGATAGGCTCCAGCCCCCCTGCTACCCCCAACAGGATAAGCAATATGGGAAATGAATGAATAAATGTTTTTGAAGAAGTAAAGCTGTGTTTTTCATTGAACCACCCAAGTTCATCATGGTTCTTTGAAACCCATTTTGATGTATTTCAATTAAGACCTTGTCACTGTGGTTGATCACATCATTCTCTTTATGTTATTTTATCTTATGGCTAATCTACAACTTCATTTAGCGTCTTATGTTATCAAAGCAATAGAAATAAACTTTCCACATTCTTATTGAGAGTTAGATGAAAAAATTAATACCACTCAAGATAGAGTGGTATCTATCTTTTCATCAGTCCCTATGAACAGATTCTGCATATGTATGCAGAATCTGTATAGACGATGGGACAAGATTCTGGTATCAAGTTAGTTTCTGTTTTTTCTTTGTAGTCTGTTTATAGTCTGATTAGTACTAACCAATCACATTTGAATTGCAATTAAACAGTCCATGAGGAGATGCAAAACACATGTCAAAATGCAATCTTTTTTTGTAGAGATTATCCAAAATGACCAGTGCATGGAAGAGGAAGTCTTGGCCTGGGTATGATTATGCCTGATCAGCCTGAAATATTGGCCCTCAACCCCAGAGGCTTTATCACCATCAGATGATAGCAGATGGGTTCTGAGGTTGTCTTCCTATCCAACAGCAAGAAAGATGATAAGTGTGTTTCTTAAAGGGGAACCCAAATTAAGAATTTCAATGTGTTATTCCCTGGGAAAGTTCAATCAGTATTTGTGAACATGAGCTACTCTCTTAAAGCCAGAAACCAGAGAAGAAAGTCTCAAACTCATGATGTCATAGGGTATATAGTCTGGAGCTGCCCATAGACAATGAATGGAAGCCTGATTTTGTGGATCCACAAGATGTTTGTTTTCTTTTTTATACCCCTGTGAGCTTTATTCTATTTTAGTGGTCTCAGCTGTAAAACAGAAAAGAACATTCCCCTGGGTGCTCTCAGTGTCATCTAGAACATCTTCCCTTATTCATTGTCCATGGAGAAGCTTCAGACTTTATACACTGTAACATTACAAATTTGAGTTTCAGCATTCTAGTTTTTGGATTTGAGAGAGCATTGTTCATGTTAACTTATATTTTTGGACTTTCTTTGACCATAGGAATAACATTTGAATTTTGAAAATAGGCATCATTCCACTTTATATGTAAAACTACTCCTCAGTTTTATTTGCTTCATTTGTATACATACCTTTTAAAAAAAAAAGTTTTAATGTTTCAAAGGTAAAATGTAAATTCAAGTATTTTATGTTGAATGTATCTGATAATATATGTATATTTTATTCAAATAAATTTCTTAGTTGTTTTTTTTTTTGTAAGTATTCTTGTCATCTTTTTTCACATGCATGTATAACTCAGATATGACCATGGGGAGTTTTAAGATGGGTGGTCTCATACAACCATAAATAATGACTGGACTGGGCCTGGTGGTGCAATAATAACTCAGAAATTTAGAGCTGAGGAATCGGCAGCTATCTTGAATCTCCCTTTCTATTTCTGTCCCTGGCATTCCCTGGTTCAGTGACACACTTATCTATTTTTGCAGTAGCCCTCTAGATGACTAAAATATTACTATCTCTCTTCTTTTGCAGTCTCACGATGTCTTAATCTATCCAATGCCAGTAATCCAATACAACTAAAGAGCCTAAAAATGACCCCAGCTAAATCAACATCATTCAGTTCAATCATTTGTGACACTGTCAACAAAATATAACACGCTCAGCAACAGTGGTGTTAAATGTTTTGAGATTGAACAGAATTACATTAATTCATCAACACTAATACTGTTGCTAAAATTACAAAAACAGCAGAGTAATAGATATTGTTTTGACTATTTTGTCCCAGCACACAGTGAGAAGCAGTAGTGAGAAATGCCACAGTGTAGCAGCTGTTTTCAGCCAATCACATGCGAGTGGGTTCACTGTTTGAGCCAATAATACGAAGGCAGTTTTACAGTATAACGCCAAAAGACAGCCACAAATAGATATGACACAGGCTCCTTGTAATGTCAGCATGCCTGCTTCACACACACACACACACACACACGCGCACACACACACACACACACACACGTGTAGATAGACTCTGGTAAATGTTAACGCTCTGAGCTCATCCCTGGAAGAAGCAGTGATGAAGCCCTGTAACCTCAGACAAGACAGGTTTTGTTCACACTGCTGATTGACATGCTCAGGTCTGAACAGCTGTTGAAGTCTGATTCATATAGTCAATGAAAAGATGTGAGTGGGCACAAATTCACAGAAACTTAGGCAAGGACATACAGAGATGAGATGACATTTTACAGGGTTATGTGCCAACTACTTCTAGGCAAGGTGCAGTCACTTCCTGAAGTCTTGTCATCACTGTGAGGTTGCCAGGTAATTAGTTGGGACTCCTGAAACTTGAATGATTAAATTACTTGAAATCACATGGTATTTTAACCATAGACCATATATAAATATGGACGACATTACATTTCCCCAAAAACAAAGCCAATTGCTCGATTACCCCCTGGTTATTGATGTATCAAGAGATTGGATACAGCACTGGCAGGGAGACCCTGTTATTCCTATTAATGTTGTGCTGTGGCACACAAAGCCTAAAAAGCTCTATTTCTGTGGGATTACCCGGATGATCGAAACTGCTTCTGCACCATTGAGCCCATAAAGCAAGCGCAGTAGTGACTTTTGCCTGCCAAGCTTGCAACTTCTGGTTTAGCGCTTTGCTAACTTGAATGAGCATAAAATAATTTAATCTTGCAGCTCTGCTAGACTTTTCAAATGTTATCAGATTGCATGGCTTAAATCTTAATTGTGAAATGAGTCATTTTATGGGGGTTGTAGAGCTAAAAATGTATTCACTGATTTACAGACATCTCTTCCCCAATGTGAGTCAATGAGAGAAAGTCTTTTTGGGCCCAATAGCGTCAAATGAGGGACTATGGAGTTGTAATTACACTGTCTGACCACTACAAAAACTAGCTTTGACTCGGCACACTTCCTGGGGGCCTGCCTCTGGTGGCTGGCTGTACAATGAGACTGC